ATGTGCTCTGAACGAGCCATCATGCCTGTTATCATTCCTCTTCACCACAGGATTTACGACTCTGTCAAGGTAGGGAAACCCAGTTTGCCTAGTTTTGTCCCAGCTGCTTCAAAGGAATTCTTTTCTTCTTCTCTACTCAAAAGGTGATATCCAGTGGCTGCACTATCTCACGTTCAAGTCGGTTTGGAGGGGACATCAAATGGTAGTCAGCGGAGCCTGTACAGGCCACTCTGTGGAGACCTGTAAATTCCTGTTACTTGAGCGACTCACTTGCTATTTCACCCCTTCACAAGGATTTACAGGTCTCTTCAAAATTGGTTCTGTCAGCCCAAATGACCTAACAAGAGGAAGTCGCGGAAAGTGCAAAAGCCCCCTCCGACCCGAACAGCGTGCCATCTCACACGGTGTAAGTACCCATCCGTACTAATGGAGGCTACGGACCCTTCGAGGCTCACTTACAACTATGCAGTACTATCATGCCTGTCGTCTTTTTAACATGACCTAGGCGGCGCTAACCTTCCCCTTTTTCAGCTACAGAGAAATGTTCCCACTTATTCAAGAATGGCGCGCAATCAGCAGTAAATATCCCGATCTCGGAGTATACGCGTATTCTGAGAGGAGCACGTATGCAGACCAGGTAAACATGAAAATAAAAATTAGGACTTGCAAATTTGTCAATGTAGAAAAAATATGTCTAATATTGCAAACCAGAGAAAACGTAAACGTTATCGATTGTCGCAAGCAAAAATAGTAGTAGTGATTTCAGACTGATGCTCTTGGTGATGTCATTTGGCAGACGCTGTGATGTCATTTGGCAGACGCTGTTATTCGGAAGTAATCTGTATGGGCATCTCGTTCATCATCTTTATTCCGGATATGGTCTCTATCTTTGCTGGCATGTTCAGTCTGCTGAGTGTCAATCTGGGGGTAAGTAGACAGGGCAATATGTATTTGGATGCATTCGGTGCGTGCGGTCGCGATGCAGCCATCTCTGACCGCCTGCAAAAGCTGCTGCCTGTTGCTCAAGTTCGCTTCATTCTAGTGAAGGCCATCACGATAGTTCTTGCCAACAACGAGTATGACAATGTTGCTCACAGACTGCATACAAGCACCGCTGCGATGCAAGCACCGCATGACGCGTTCCGTTCCGCGATCGCACGCGTAGTGGTCCAACCCCCTCTACCGTAGTCGTAATCCACGCTCGTTCATGCACAACTATATGACAGTGATTCATATGATCTTCTTCGGAAAATTGATAATGAGAACTCGTTCACAAAACACCTTTATTGGTGAGCTTTCGCTGTCTTAACAGCTTCGTCAGACCTTAAATGAAATCAAGTATACATGGTATTACAATTCCTAACAACTAAGTTGCTCGAAATACAAACCAGGTTGACCTGCCCGTCAACGCAATTTGGGTTAGAGTGCTGCTTTAATACAATTCCTAATACAATGTCAAGAGTGCAACTGTAAACAATCAAACTACAACGAATGACCAGCTTACCCCAGCGCAACTGCCAATGCAACTAAACGTCGCTAGAAATGTGACGCGCGTGACATTTGTCAGTACTTCTTTATCACTACCGCTATCCTATTAGCCTCATTGCTTCCATGAGCTCCTCCCTGTTGTTGATCTCGGGGGATAGCCGCTTGATAGCGAGCGCTTCAAGCAATTTTCTTTCCAATGGGGCTTCCTTCGTGCGGTGTATTGACAGGTTTACTTTCAGAGTGTTTATTTATTTTTTTGTTTACTTATCAGTTTATATATGACAGTCTTCATCGGTCAAAGTTTCCAGGTCTTCGGATTCCTCTCTTTATGGGGTGTCGGTATCAACCCTGTCTCTATGGCTTCTCTTCTCATGTCAATCGGATTCAGCGTCGACATATCAGCTCATATCAGTTATCACTATTACCAAGTGAAAGCACCGGTATGAGATGTACCTGAGTTACTTCAAGTATCAACTATTATCATTATCAATATTTGTAGAATGCATGTAAAAGTGGCGTAGCACTGAACACTTGCTTTCACTAAATTTCGGAGGAGGGAAAAACTCACTGGCGCGTTGCGGCAGGGTGTGATGCAAAGGAGATCGGTGCCTGCTGCGCTATGATCAGTAAACGCTTGAAGTGGAAGAAACGATGCAGAAAAGAGGATTGAATAAATAGTGGATTACGCTGTTGATTAGTGGCAGTGTCGTTAGCGAATTCAGGAAAAGTCGAGTATCAGAACGTAGTAGTCCAGTCAACGGCGAAACTGGCGAAATAGTTCCTTTCGACTTCCGAAAACGACAAACGATTGTGACGCAAGCAGCTCCTACGCAAGCGTCATACCATTATAAAGTTCATTAACCTCACTGTTCCGGCAATTTGCCCGCTGTTTGCATCGTTTTCACAAATCAAAAGCGAACTATTTTGCCAGTTTCGCCATTTACAGAAAATTGCGCCCCTGATAGCTCGACATTTCTGCCATCTCTCACGCCTACCACTAATTCACCTGTAGGACATACCACTATCTGTTTTAAACATCTTCCTCTCTCTATTTTCCTCTTTTGTCCTGCACATAAAAGCGGTTAGCCTGATTGGAGCCAGTCGCAGCGCGGTGCGCATCGCCTTTCGCTTCGCCTGTGCGTCCGCGCATAGGTGATTTTTCCACGAGCCACTAAATTTACAGCGAACTTCGCGCTGAAACTTGAAATCGCACGTCACAGAAATGCAAAACTACAAAAAATGAAAAAATGGTTACAGACACCTCTCGAAAAATTAGAAGATGCTTTTTTGAACATTGGATGGCCAACGATGCAAGGTGGATTGAGCACGTTCTTCGCGATGTTGCCGGTCTTAATAAAGCCGAGCTACCTGGGAATGGTATTCCTTAAGGTACGTTCCAGGTGAAACGTTGATGAGTCCCTCGCTGAACAGTTAGTATTTTTTCTGCAATTGTCCCATAATCTTAAATATAGAGTTACGTCGGTGTTCTACATGAAGATCCACAAAACTGACGAGCGGCTGCTGGAAAATAAACTCGGAAAAGGCGCGGCGCGAGCCTTTTTTATTTATCGCGCATGTTGGCAGGGCGTGGCTGCGTGCTAGATTTGGGCATGTGTAGGGTTTGTTTTCGGTGATATTTTGCCATTTGGGACAATGGTCTCCTGTTCTGTTCGTTGGACAAAAAACGTCAATTTAGAGCTGCCCCAAAACGAAAATGTCCCTGCAAGAGTTAGCCGCCGCTACGCTCAATTCAAGCGCGCAGCCACGCCTACCGCATCTCAGTGCTTTTGACTGTACTTTGACCCCAATGGCCTGGGCGATTTTGAGCGAGGCAGATCAGAATGACTCGCAACCGGAGCGTTAAAACTCCCCCCCTGAGACGCAACTGGCAGATGTTCAAGCAGGGAAAAAAATTCAAAACAATCGCCTGGCCGGATATTCAGAAGAGGGGGCCCAAAGAGTAAATATTCTTTCAATTACTCGAGGCTAGACAGTGTCCTTCTAATGCCCTTATGCGAAAAACATTTACTACTTTACAGACTGTTGCATTGGTATCAATATTTGGTCTCATTCATGGGCTTATCGTACTCCCTGTGTTTCTGTCAATGCTGACCTCACTACGGCGAATGTGTGGCCGCAGGTAAGAGGAACTTCTGAAACTTTGCAGAACCTCTCGAAATTTTCAAACCAGCTAAGAAATTAATTGTCCGTACGCTTACGATGAAGTGAATCTTTCCAGATTTTCTTTATCACAGCTGCAGGTACGCACCAGCTGAAGGAGTGCACACTCGCGACTAGTGCAGCAGCATGCGCGATTCCACCGCCATCGAATTTCCATCAAAAAGTTTACCGTCTAGCAAAGGCCGCCAAGTAAAACTGGGATCAGGCTCTTAGTCAATCAAACGGACTGCGGAACGGTTAAGGCACATCTACGACAAATGAGTAACCAGTTAATAAGTTCGCTAGAATGTCCTCAAGGATACGTTGTACTCACCTTTGAAGGTTTTGGTGTTTTCCATCTAGGAGGTGAACGGGTTCACAGCTATAAAGTTATGATCTCTGCAAACAAGTGGAGGGCGCCTTGACGAAAGGTGGCCGAATTCGCAACCAGGGCAGATTTCCCCCAACTGTAGCAAGTTCCAGATGTCATCTCTGGTGAAAAGAGGGCTCTGGTTGCGTTCCAGTCTGCGGCGCGTCACACGCTCTATCGTTTGCAGGGATCACGACTGTAGAACAGTGCTCCTCTCGTCACTCGAAAGTCTACCGAAATAAGTTTTGAAGGACAGTGGTAGCTATATGATTTTGAGCACCCGCAGACAATGCGCGAGTACATGCGTGCGCACTACAAGGCTCTGGCCTGGCTAAGGCTAATCTAGGGAACTCGACGGATCCGTCATATATAGTGCAGTTGTAGACGTCAACTAGAACCCCTAATGAAATCCACCTACCACTACCTCCTCATTTCCACCCCTTTCGAATGACGAGAGTGGCATATTTTACAAGGCACTTTTACTTGCTAGGCACTTACTAGGTGCGTGCCTGTTTTTGCAAGGCACTTTTTACTGAAGTGCGGACTGCACATCTCCCACATGGTACGGATCCACTTTGCAACTAGGCGACAGCATGTCCTTCAGCGTAGCGTTGTGCCGTTTTAGGGTATGTGCGTATGTGTTGGTCACAAGGACGCTCTAGTCTAGTAAATCGGCATTAAGACTTCGCGATGACGCGCGTCGACGCGCTGTAATGCGCTGTGACACGCGTCAAAGCGTTACAATTCAACAGCGCTCCAAAACTATAGACGCGGACGCAGATGCAGACGGCCAGTGCCGATCGATTCCAGTCTATGTGACTGGGCAGCACCCGGCTCACCTCGATCGAGCGTTCGTGGGCGAGGATCGATCAGCGCCGGGTGTCTGCGGCTACGTTCGCGCCTATAGGTTTGGAGCGCTGTTATAGTTGTAGCGCGTCGACGCGCGTTACAGCGCATAACAGCGCGTCGACCTGCGTCATCGCTAGGTATGAACACTGCCTAACGCCGGCACATCAGCGCAATCTCTGCCTCAAAATGTTTGTTATGTAATGGTGTCTCTGTCTCTTTCAACTACTGTATCTCTTCTCTCTTCGTGTCTCATCCGCCTTTTCCAAGTGCCAAAATGCTTTGTTTCATGCTTGTACAATGCTCAAAATCACTGCAAATAAGACTACTTTGCTGATAAGGGGCGTTATTGGCAGTTCCCTTTGATCTTCGTAGGCTACTGTGCCAGTCAGCGCCTACGGTTTCACACTTCGTAAGCCACTGCCTATGAAGGTGCTATCATGGTATGCCCCTTTATAGGACGGGGAAGCGTCGAGTCTTAGTAGAAAATGAGTTCTACGCTTTCCTGAAGGTCTACAGTGGTTTCACGGGGTTGTTACCAACATTTTATTCTTTCGTTTACTTGTATTTACTACGTTTACAGGTATTGTTTGTGTAAATATCTTGAAAATGAATTGTTATGTTGTCAAATAAATCATTTGGTCAGTATCGTCAATGTTTTCGAAGGTAGATATCGTCGGTATCGCCCATATCCGTGCATGTGACAAAACAATCCGTAATTCAGGGTAGCAAGGGGCGTGGCTGCAACTTCTTGCTAACTCCCTTCCGCACCTACTCTGAATCCTCGTGATACGATGGGCGTGGCCACCAGCTTCATTTGAACGCTGCGGTGGCAGCGCTCATGGCGAGATATTTTTATTTTTGTGATTAGATCGTGTTACGCCATGTTCAAATTCAGTGCGCAGTTAGGGATTTGATGATTTGATGAACTCTTGCAGCCACTCCCCTTGCTGCCCTCAGGCATGGACTGTTTGTACAGTGTCATATTCCTCTTCTTTTCAGAATCTCCATGTCTTAAGAGCAGAAAATCAGACAACTTTTCAGTACTTTTATTTATTCATTAATGCACACTACAATTTGCTCCATTAGAGACCAACGTGTATCGCCTTAGCAAAGCCAATCCTCTGTTGACCAATATCGTGGATTTGGCAGTAGGAGCGGATCCACGGATCACCGAGAATCCACGCTGGGCCGAAACCACCGGATTCCATTTCAAAGAACGTTATCACACACTGAAAGATATGTATTATAGGACATAATCAATCTGAAATCCACACCGTGAACTGGGCACTTGGTGGAGGAGGGGGGCAGGGTTTGCAAGTGGGTTTCAGAAGCGATTAGCTGAAGGGACTTTAGTGGAAAACCAATGTTGTGCCTTGTAAAACAGGTCGCACTCTCATCTTGTTTCAGAGGTGGAGGCTCACATTTTACACATGCAGATGATCAAACTGGAGCAGTAAGAAAACATGCTCATGAGTAAGACTAAATGCGAAAGAGAGCAAGCGGGCGGAGTCACTGGCGCTTGGGCGGGGTCACTTGAGCAACCTTGCGCCTCAACATTCCCTCACGACTTTCTGACCCGAGAATGATAAGGATTTCTTCCTTGTGGCCCATTTTATCGACGTTTCACTCCTCGTTATTGCTCCAAAAGGCGGGGTGCAACAACGGAGGAGGCACATTCACTTACTGTCTCCGCCCATGCGACCAACGTGGACTGCGCCTTCAAGGAAACTTAGTTTGTAATAAAGACGCAAACCTTTCCATCTCCAAGGCCAATATCGAGCACGTATTCGATTGATGGCACTCTGTACTCCATGCCGTTGATAGTGAAGACAAGATCAGGTAGAAGTCTCATTGTGTAGCAATAGACAGTATAGAACTGATTCTGCAGGTCAAAATTGGCTCCAACTTGCCTTGTAATCGCTTGTATGGCAGCCGATGGGGCTCCAATAAAGGACGTGCCCGTATCGGAGATCACCTTAATGGAAAGGGATGTGCTCTAAAAGTTGTGAAGTCTACTTCGCTTTCTGGGGTTTGTCAGGGGGCAGGGCTTGACGCGGCGCCAGCCTGTTCTCCACCTGTTGTTGAAGCGAGCAAGCGACAACAGTCGGTAGAAAACGACTGGCGTCGCGACACTCATCACCCCTAGAACGCCCCTGCATGCGCAGCGAATAAGACTGTACCCATGTTTTCAAGGGTATGTTCAGTAACCTGTGCTGTTTCTTTGCTCTTGTACCATCCAATGGAAAAACCATCGATTGGGAATTGCCAAAACGTAAGCGATGAAAGGTTCACATAGGAGACCGTTGGAGCGCAGTTCCATGTGTCAAAATCACCAAATGTGATCAAACCACCATCGCCGCCAGCGATTGGTTGCAGCTGAAAACATTCTTCACCCAACTTTTCCCAGTTTCCGCTTGCTGGTAATTTCTCCGGGAAGTAGCTCACCTTCCTGTCCATCCATACGGTAAATAACTGATGGTCAAGTTGTGGAAGTACATTTTGCATTGGCGGTATAACCTGAAAGCTAGTAAGATGTAAAAAACTGCACTCACTGCAGTACTAAGGGCATTTGAGGGCAAAAAAACCTTCTTGTTCAGCCAAAGCTGGCCAGCCAAGCCCAAATATACCATCCAATGGTTGATATCCGAATATATCATCGATATTTGTGGCAATTCCAAATTCCTGCTGAGTAATCGACAGACCTGGAAAATAGTTATACAATGTGGCGATTATGGTCGATGCTGCGTTTGAGCGCATCCCATAACTTCCGTGAGTCCCGACTGCGGCTAAGCCCGCGGTCCGGTAGAGGGTCGTCGCCGATTTCAAAACCTCATGCGAGATGGATAGCGAACCTGCCTCCACCGCTAATCAGCTGGAACCCGATGCTATGGTTGAAAACGTCCTCCTATACCCCCCAGTCTGATCATGCATTTAGATCTAGCCGCAGCTGTGGCACCATTACGTCAACCGCGAAGCTGGCCGTTCATCAGACTATTAAATAAGTTCGTAAAGTCGGCTTTACGTCCGCAAGTATGCACGCCGCGTTCAAGGCAGTCCCTGTGCGACCCTAATTGGATGAGCTCGACCTAGCGTGGTCTCAATCAAACGTCAACTGCACAATAAATCTCAGTAATTTTCATGAAAGTTTGCTAAAAGGTGAAGCTATAAAGAACATCCGGACCAACCAGCAAAAGATAGCACATTCAGCGCCCTAAGATATCCACTGCGATATCCGGATCCGCGTAGGCAATAAAGAATCGGAAATATTTCACAAATGTGTTTTGAAGCTCGTCGCGTTTTCAAATTTATGTTTCGTGACAGCACTTTCAGGATACCCATTCCACGCACCTCCAATTTTACACTCATGGACACGCCGCATCAGCCTCCACGAGATTCGAGCGAGCCAGTGTCCGTCCAGAACCGTACGGTAAATTTTTGAGCTGAAATCACGAACCATCTCTGTTCACTCTAGGCTAATGAACCCTGTCAAGGTCAGTGGTCTGTTTCAGTTCCTGACCTGGAGTGCCTAATTTCGAATATGCGAGCCGCGCGGTAGCAAGTCATCGAAATAGTCCTTTAAATGGCAGTGATGAATTTTTTTGAACGAAATGGCTTCCTGTACCTGGTCGATGGTGTGTGAGTGAGTGTATTTTACGTACTTACAGAGCTGAAAAAATTGGCTCAATCAAAGGCATCGTTCTAACCGTGTAAGGCAGAACGCGATAAGTGATGTCGAAAAGTTCGAGCTGTTTCTCCACTGGTGCGCTATTTCAGGCGCTGTTCGCGAGGGAGTTGGGGGAGGGGGAGAGGGAGGGGGGGGGGGAGTAGCAGCATATAATTGCACTTTCGCAGCTACAATAGTTACGGTTTGCAAGTCTCAGTCTGGTGAAAACTGGAACTTTTGTGTAGCTGGAGCAAGCTCGTCCAGCCACCATGATAAAACAAAAGATATGTCAACTCTCGTAAAGGCTCTCTCGATGGTCGGACACGTCTATGAGAAGTGGCAAAAGCGCAAAATGCTCACCCCCGTCGCCGAACTGAGCCCACCCTTCATACTGCGAAGGCAAAGTGGGAGGGTGTCTCTAAGGGGAAGACCAAAATCGCCGAGCGTCCTGCCCATATAACCAGGAACTATGCCTTCATGCGATAGAGTGAGAGTGACTATTATGACAGCTCGGTACCCACGGTACAAGGGCTGCATGACCTGTGACGAAAAAGAGACGTTAACGTTGGCTCAGCGTTCCCTCTGAAGTTTGTCCTCAGACAACTGCAGTAATCATTGAGCTTGAGTGAATTCCAAGTAAAGGACAGGGAACGTATCGCTTGATCTCCTCTAACATAAGGTGGGTGGGCAGTGGCAGCCAGTGTTTGACGGATGGACCAGCTAGGTATGTTCCGCTACTGTTCTTAAAATGTGATAGCTAACCACGGCACACTGCGGGAGAGCAATTCTTGGAAAGATTCTCAAGTAGGTGATGTAGGTGAAAGTTTATAGTGGGTCACTCGTCAGGGCTTTCGTTCGAAATGTTGTTGGATGAAAGCAGATTCTTTTTGAGTGGGAAAACTTGAGGATATCTGGGCTGAAACTCTGGGAAAGTGGTATGATGCTGAAAAAATACGGAAAGATGGTAAGTAGGACGAGAGATGGGTAAGGGGGTCACTCACAGGAGGAACTTCCAAGGGGGGAGTGGTATTTTACAAAGTTTCCCCATTAGGTTTAGGGCGTGCAGTCGTCACAATTGAAAGAAAAGCACAGCGCTGGGTAGCGAGCTATTGGACCTGCGGTAAGTGTTGCCTACTCCGTTAAGATAACGGTTCTGCACGCCACCAGTTACGATACCTAACAGGCCCTAGTCGACTGATGATTCATTGAATAATCTCCACGCCATTAGCCAATCAAAGAGAACAGTAATTTAATTCGCCACTGGGATTCCCATGGCTCCCGATGAGACATAAATTACCATCAGAAAACAAATCGTTATAGCTCTATTTTTCAAGTAAAACTTACGCAATTAGTTTTGCCCTCAGAGAGCCCGAAGACCTGGCCCTCATAGTAAAATTCTTCCCATGCGCAACTGCTATTATTATAGAGAAAACTATCAGAAATCTCATAGCGCCACCTGAAAAAGGAGCGGGAGTCTCGCTCGACAATTATTAACCTGATGATCAGGAAAACGAAACGTAATAAGAAAGATGGCGAATTGAGTAGTGGTGGCAATGTATGTCACCGGCGATGTTCCTGGTAAGCTAACGTTGAGTGGAAAAAGACTTCTACTCTGGTTCCATCAAATCGCTTCAAACAAAAGTCGATACGAAACAAAATCATGAAGGGTTAGCTAAGACATGACAACAAAACGCGCTGCACTTCGATTCTGATAAGAGGGAAATTATCAAAGTGCTTTGCTTGAATGAATAAAAAACCTCAGGCAACAGTACAATCACCGCGCCTCCCATTGAGCATCACTGTCAAGCATAACTCTCTTCCTGCTCCTAAATTTACTCCTGTTATAGTGTGTAATCCGTTTCATCGTAATTAATACAGTACCCACCGTAAGTGTTCAAAAAATTACGAAAAAACGCCGATCCGCGTTTTTTTCGTTTTTTCGTTATAGAGCTGTTCCTGTTGACTTTTTGTATAGATACCCATATATGATTAGAATCAGCTCGCCGAGCTGTATCCGAGGTACTGTATCTATATCTCTGACCAGTTGGCTCGAAGTCTCAGCTCTCCTAGATGGTAACTCTTTCAGGGTTGGGATGGTGGTGTCGGAAACGATCACTGAATACGGGCGTCCTGTATCTAATCGGGTATCGATTCGTGTTCAACACCCAAACCATGAGGTCTGGACCATTACAGTCTTGCTAGGTGTTGATGAAGGAGCCTGTCAGTGAGGGGGTGGGAGGGGGCGGGGGAAATGTGATCGTCCAGCCCGTTTTCTACAGTTTGTCTGAGCGGGTCAAGCGACCGCATAGTGGTGAAAGGAGATGGCGACGAAGAACGATTTAATTGCAGTCCTCGTTGAACCGAACAAAGCATAAAGGAATTGGCGTCGATCGCTGCCATAGACCTCCGTCTTGGAACACGCCGATGGGCGTACCAAGACGAACCGCCGGGCCAGACCATAACGCCTCCAGTAACCGCCGACGACGCCATACTTGAATGTTCCAGTTGCAGCATCCGCAATACAAGCTGCAGACATCGTGCAGGGTACAGTATCGCGTTGGGCAAAAAATATAGGGGTTCGTTTTTGGCTTGGGGAAGTGTAGGGTATTTGTGAGTTCTGTCGGAAGACGGGGTCCGTATGTGGACTTTGGGCCAGGAAATGTCGCTGGCGTTGTTGGCCGAAAGGCTTTTTCTGGCTGTATTCTCGGCGGTGATGTTTTCCTTTTTCTGGTGTCACTACTTCTGGCTCGCCCCTCCCCCGTCGTACGGGGGAAACTGTGGTGTAAGAACTGGAATGAATGGTGGGGGAATGGAGACCTTCACTTAGCTGACCCACGAGGAGCCAGGGGAGGGGAACGTACCAGAGGGACAAGCCTACAAGGCTGGCAGCCCAGCGCCAAAATCGTACCAGAGCCCAATCCCTTACGAGAAAGGGTCAGTAGTTCAAAGGCGATCACTGGCACTTCACACAGGCACGGCCCTGTCCCTTCGGTGAACTTTCCGGATTCGCAGCGCGCAGCCCGTTCAGTGAGTATGGGTGCTGGTCCATCAGGGGCCCATTTGAAACGCCGCTCCCTTTGCAGTGACCGTGCCCGGGCAAGTAATACTTGCGCACCGAGCCCTCTCTCCTCCCTAGAAAGTCGGAAGCTTTACTTGCCAGACTTTCTCGGAGGTCGAAGAACAAAAGGCCAGCACTACATGCTACCACCGTAATCCATCGTATGAGCCGTAACTTGCAACAAAAAGCCAAGGTCTGATATGAGTATTGAATGAGTTTTTCGATGCCAGTTCGCCACACCCACAACAAGATTCACTGTGGTCGCAGGAAACTGAAACGCTGCCCTGGGCGTGGATCTCCTCTTCTCTTCTCCGGTGGCGAGAAAACTGACGCTAGTCTCCCATCACGGGATGCCTGCGGGGAAACGCGCCACCATTCTGACACTCAGCGGCTGCATGACTTCTCTCATGATGGGGCCCTTTGTGGGACCTAGGCTACCTCAGCCGGTTGTCATCCTCTATATGGGACGCTTTAGTCCAAGCAACCATTATGCAAACGTTCCCTATTCAAAACAATATTGGCGGCTACCACATGATAATCACATGTATAACCTGTGCTCCCGTTGATTATCGAGTTCCTCGAGCGATGGCGTCAGCTAACCGTCTCAATTCCTCCCTGCAACCTGCCGAGTGCTGCCCAGTGACTCTCTCTGGCTCGACTGGGCACGATGAACTTCATTACCATTTCGTTAAGTAAGAGCTATCGAAGAGGTCCTGACCATCGCACAGCGGTTCCGTTCAGGCGTTCGCTTGACATCCTATGGAATCCAGTCGCGTGGGATCGCTCTGAGTCAGCAGTGCATCTCGAAACGCGAGCAGTGCCGGCCCACCTGACCTTCGAAAGCCTCGTGCAAATACGACGGCTCTCGATCTTTCCGATCGTCGTTCGGAGTGGCGGGGCTCCGGATTGCCCTCTCTCACTTGGCGAACCAATGTTAGCAGGGAAACTAACACGAGCATCCGTCCTTTCGATGGCGCGTTGAAAATGACGCCGACGCCAAGGTCTCTGAGGCATAAGTCAGATTCAGTCAAGGCAGGAAGGACCACGGAACGGACCACACGGATAATAGTGACATTTTATTGTTTCGGCAATAAATACAAAAAATACAACACTACGAATGGTATGACAGATCGGCCGAATCTTCATAACCCGCTGACACCACCTCTTCATATGGTTCTCCTTCGAAAGTCACAGCCGATAAATCTTCTTCATAATGCTCTTCGATAGACTTCCGCTGCTCTCTGTGAGGCGCTTCTGAGCTTTCCACCTCCACTTCAAGACATACCGTATCGTCGTGCTCAACCGCTGCAAATTTCTACCTTTGAAACTTCGAAAAACAATAAATGAGTAAATAGCAATGAACGTATACACAACCTATCCCGGAGATGGAGAGGGCGTGGTTGCGTACTTCATTTGAACATGGCGTATGACGCAATTTTCGTGAGATAATTCCATTATAGGCAATCTGTCTTTCACTTGCGAAGACGCGATTACAACCGCCTCAAGACCACATCAGAAGCGTAACAGCCGCCGTGTTCAAACGAGGTCCGCAGTCACGCCCTCCTTATCGCCGGGATATAAAATGTGATCAAGCATGCAGCCACCCTCTCCCCTCCCAAAATCGAAGAACTTAAGCGACACACCTTCGAATCGCTCTTCCTCTTCGTCCTCCTCTCCATCAAATTCTGGTTCCACAGCCTGCATAAACTGTGTTGCCGTTGTCTGAGGCACACCTCTCACAAGCTGCCCTTGCAGGGTTCGTACTTGAGCCATCAGTATGGTTCTCCTCGATGGATCCATCGTCTGTTTTATTTGGGCGAGAAGTGCCTGCAAAGCGCTAGAAGTGATTAAATGATGGAACACTCGGACCTGATCAGTCAGTTTTGGAATGTGCCACGCAATCCGCTCCCACTAAACTTTGTAGAGACATTTTGATGGTGATTCGGCCTATTTAGTTGATTTGCGAAAGTCTGCAAACCAGCGCTTCATACTCCTAAAGGGGCCCCTTGGGCTGCGTTCATACATGGCGATGAGAAACTAGGAGAATGCGCTACAAAGAAAGTGAAGGCCCAATCGGCGCCGGTGAGAAGAGTAGAAGAGTAACACAGAGCGCGAATAGACACCAAAAATAGCAGTTTCTGCAACTGCACTGCAGAAGTTGTTAGTTTCTGACTCCTGGTCGCGTAGTTTTCCTTTCTGCTACTCTCTCTCCGCAGCCGATCCACGCCTATATTTTCTCGATTCTCCGATTATCCCAGATCGTCGATTTTCCGATTCTCGTGGAACACCAGCTTGATACCGTCGTAGAACATTGTGCGATTCTCCTTCAATCCCGCCACAGAACTTTTTGAACGCAGCCTTACTAATGTGATGGTCCAAAAGCGACAAAAAACTTCTGACCAGGGGTGCAGCCGCTCCGGGGTTTGCCCACAGACGTGCATTGATAAGAGGCGTGAGTAGAGGAGTAGTATGTGCCGACGGACCACGCGTACTATACCAGGGACCAAATTCTGTATCAAATCCTGTCAAGACAAGCAACCCTTCAACCTCTCCAAGGTCAACAAATTGGTAACGGACTAGCAGGAGGATTAAACCACCGATTTGCCAACTCGGCTGTTTCCCACATGTCGCTGTATGACCCCTACCTATCAGAAAAACAACTTTAATCGCGATAGAATGCATGGCTCATCTTGGAGAGGACCAATCAGTGCCTGATTTTAAACTCTTTTCGATAGGAGCAGATGATAGAAGAATGAGAAATTTCTTGAGAAGATAAGAAAAAAATATACATTTATCCTTCTGTTCAGGTTCGTCATGCTTTCATCAAAACCTGCGTTCCCTGTCGGTTGTGGTTCCATTAACAACGGCATTATTCTGGTCGGTTTTGATTGTTCTGAAAGCAGACAACTGGAAATCGAAATCATTCCATGCGAAATCTGGCAGCGATTCCTCTCAGTGTTTTAACATTTTTGAGAGCAAAACTAGTGGTAGTGACCTAAGGCTGAACTAGATACACAGAGAAGGAAGATTGGTCTCGTTCAGTTTCCGTCTAAGGGCACGTGCGAAACGGAAACTGAACTACTTCTTTGAATCGACCCCCCTCAAATGATTTAGCTAAAATGAATAAATGAATTAAAGTTCAGAATTACCTTGAAGTAATTTTCAACTTTATAGCAGATGCCTAAGATTTCTTAAGACTCAATCTTTTTATTTTATTTTATTTTATCTTATTGATATGTGTCATGAGAGCTGATTAAGGAGACACTGGAGTATAAAACAATTCTGAGTCGCAACAGGTGCGGCGAAGTACACAGTACAGCGGGAAGGTGGTCGCAACGATCGCGGCAGGACCCAATACACTCAGCAGTGTTGGCGCTCCACTCTCTCTTCGTTTACGCCTCTCAAGCGGCTAGCTCTCTCTCTCTGCTAGTTAGAAGAAAACCTACAATAGTGCGCGATGTCGCGAACTTGGAAGTAACGCTCCCCATCCGGAATCAAAGAGAAGCATAAAAAATACCGTGAGAAAAATCGACTCACCCTCTCGAACCGTATGCATCACATTCAGCATATTTTCCGAACCTTGCACATCGTCCACAAAATAAGTAAGCGATTCTTCTCCATCGTCGACCATCTGCACAATTAACTGTTTTCTAATCAGTTACTCTTTATACAACCAGTTTTATATACCTGATGGCTACCAACCACGTCTAATTCTTCAAATTCGTCACCTCTATATTCCACGTATGAGCATGGCCCTATGATCTGGAAAAACAAAAATATACCTACGAAATACATACCATTTTACTTTGAATCGGAACTTTCAAACCAAATCGACAACTTTTTTTCAACCAAAACGGACTCTTTTCCAACCGAAACAGATACTTTTCTAGCTAAATGGGACATGTTTCAAACCGAACCCAATGTTTCAAGTCGAATCGGACACTCTTCACATCGGGTAGCTGACAAGCTAGACCACACTAGGTACTGCTGCAAGCTCCGCTCCACATCCGTTCCCCCCCCCCCCCCGCTTTTCATCGCGGTCACAATCTTTCGAAATTCGCTCTACAGTTTCTGCTTCTGTGCACTGAAAAGGACTTATACCGGCAGCGAGTCCACCAACTTTTGTATAGCGAATTTTGAATTCTCTGTTTTTTCAACGTGGTCTTTTCTCATTCTTCACAGAACGAATGTTCTCATTATGTACACATAGC